TATTTATATTATTTATCTGCCACCCCCTTTATAGATGGTCTCCAGTTGTTTTTTCCACCACACTAAACAAAGTTTGAGTTGCATGAGAATAATAAAGCTAAAATGACTCGCGATCGAGACTAGCGTTGGCGACTGTATCTTCCTAGGTGCCCCGAAGAGAAAGAACCGCCTTTCATCAGACAGGATTTTGGGGTGCTCAATCCTACTACGACCCTCTGCTTTCCTCTGCCTACAGAAAAGTGACGAGGGTCCACAATGAAGTCGTTGCTATAAATTGTATTACGGTTTCCTTTCCCCAAACAGCTCAGTGGAGAAACTACAGCAAGCGTATAAATCGACCCATGCCTTGTGATTAGCACTAAAAGCACACCTACACAGCCGCTTGCATAACAGACAGCCCCGAAAGGCTTCGCCTGGGAAAGACGAAGCCAACCTTTGCTTTCGTTTGTTCCAAGGTTTCGCTAGAAAACCACCAAGGCGGAGTAACAAGAGTGCATCCTGGGAAGTGTAGTTCATACCGATCGGAGCAAGAATTGCATTACAAAGATGGCCAGTTGCAAGTAACTGTTCTCCCGTGGCAGTAGCCCAGCTGTGGAAAAAGCAACAGGATTATTTTTCAACTAAAAATAAGATATTAACTGGTCGGTAGCATCATTTCAGCACTCTTTGATGTCGGCTTTTTCAGCTGTTAATGCTACCTTGCCCTGTTTTTATTCTTAGTCGGTCTGTTCCTGCTGCTGTTTATCTGATTGTTAAACCATTTGTATTGAGGAATGAAGTATTATTACCAATAATGCAAATGTTTCATTGGCGGGAAAGGGAAACAGAAAGACGTAGCCAAAGGGACTAATCGCATACAGAAATTATTTAAGTTTAAATGGCTTCCTAAACAGCTTAGATTTATTCAAATCCGAAATAGAAATTACTAAAAACAGCATTATGCTACAGGTTTTAACTTTTTCAACTATCACTCTTATAACTGGAATCAAATATATTAGATCCTATAAATTACAATAAGGTTAAAGGACAAGCAAGGCTATCCAGTTCTTGTGATAAAGAAGACAGATCCATCTTTCCCTCCCATCAGACTATATATATATAATCTTTATCCAGGAGCTAAAGCCTCTTTTGAGTTGTCAACTATAGCCCAGATCTTTTCAGACTTTCTCACATATTAGTCTAAGACTGGAATTCTATACTGCCCCAGTCATACTTTATGGGTTTTATTTTACTGGAGCACATGGTGAACTCAGCCATATGACTTGTAAACAATGGTTTTAAGTTAACTAAGAAGCATAGTTCACTTAATCATGGCTTAGAAATGATACTCAAACCTGTGACATATTAGATCACACATTAGAATAATGCAAGTATTAGAATATACTTTATGCTCCGATTTTGACTTTTGGACTTGCCTCATGAAAAGCATCTTTTGATAAAGTAATAATAATTTTAATTTGATTATAAAATGTATCTGTAGCCTATTCTGGACAATGTTTGTTTAAAAAAAATAGTTCCAAATAGTTTGACTTGTGAAATTTATTGAGATTCAAGTAAACAAAACAGAGGTTATACAATTCTGGGTTTCTAATAGAAACCATCAAGGTTATATTATAAGCCATTGTGGGTTTTTTTACTATATTAAATTTCTATAAAAGATAAAATGTAAAAACCAACCAAACCAAAAAATATTAAGAAGGAAAAAGAGAAGAGACAGTGCAAAGGAATAAAAAAGTAAGAAAAAAATAGCTTCTTTCTTCAGTAGTTACATGAATTTTTGGGTTTAAATTTCAATAAAACCCAGTATTCCTATAATCATGAATATCTCTAATAATCAAATCCTAATTTGTGTATAATTGCATATAATATGCCACAATTTTTTCAATTTCTTTTGGTTTGTAGCAAAAAGTCCAAAAGTGGTTTCCATGTAAAAACAATATTAAATTTTCCTTTAATACACTTGTGCACAATTATTAGGCAAGAGAGTATTTTGACCATATCATCATTTTCATGCACATTTTCCACCCACAAGCTGTATAAACTTGAATGCTTAGTGGATATAAGCATATCAGGTGATGTGTATTTGTGTAATGAAGGAGGGTATGACCTAAGGAGATTAACACCCTATATCAGAGGTGTCAAACTACCGGCCCATGGGCCACATATGTCATGCCAAAACTGCGCCCACTCCAGCTCTGGCAATGGGGGAAAAATCACGATACGTCGCAACATGTCATGTGACATTGTGAGTTTGCCATCCCTGCCCTATATTATAATTATTAGGCAGCTTCTTTTCCTCAGGCAAAATGGGCCAAAAAAGAGATTTAACTAATTCTGAAAAGTCAAACATTGTGAAAAGTCTTTCAGAGGGATGCAGTACTCTTCGAATTGCTAAGATATTGGGGTGTGATCACAGAATCAAATGTTTTGTTGCAAATAGTCAACAGGGCCGCAAGTAACGTGTTGAGAAAAAAAGACGAACATTAACTGCCAAAGATTTGAGAAGACTCAAACGTGAAGCTACCAGGAACCCTTTATCCCCCAGTGCTGTCATATTCCAGAACTGCAACCTACCTGGAGTGCCCAGAAGTACAAGGTGCTCAGTGCTCAGAGATATGGCCAAGGTAAGGAAGGCTGAAATCCGACACATAAATTGAAACAGCAAGACTGGGCCAAGAAATGCAGTGAGGGGGGGAAATTATTTGATCCCCTGCTGATTTTGATTAATGTACAATATGGACTGAGCTGTCAGTCAAAGACGATTTACCATGTTCAATGTTTTTAATTCTTTTTATTGTACTTAATAAAAAACTTATAAAAAGAAAAAGAAACTGACAGACTCCATGAACGGAAGGCTTATGACTGTTTTTGAAAAGAAGGGTGGCTATATTAGTCACTGAAACCAAAACCTCACTTCTACTTTCTTAAATAGTCAGGTTTGAGGTTTATTAACATTTTGGATTGACCGAGAGCATTGTAGTTGTTCAGTAAGAAAATTAATCCTCCAAAATACAACTTGCCTAATAATTGTGCACACAGTGTAGTTACTTTTACCATCTCAGTCAGTTCTATTAACTTCACCATCTAGTCTCCCATTGTGGCAATCTGTAAAAGTTAGCAATAGTGGCAAATATCTGTAGCGCGACTGTAGGATGCGGATGAAGGTTTGGAGAACGAACCTTCACCCCATCTGTAAAAGTTCCAATGCAAAAAGTACATATAGAAGAAAAGTCCTATTTTTTTCCTCTAACGTCTTATCTGACAAACCTAGAAGAAAAAATTGTACCTTTAAGAATTCTCTGAATTAAAGTACACATTCAATCCCATTAAGTCTTCGTCTTCTTACATGTCCACCAAAAGTGATAAAAGTATCTCAAGAGTGGATTACATTTACAAATCTACCTACTAAGTATAAAATCTTTCACTGGTTAAAAAAAAAAAACCAGTGGTAGTGGTATTGCTTTCCATGAAATAAGGTGCAAGAGGTGGGGAAAAGAGGCATGCGCTTCTAGATTGCAGTTCTCATATTTAAAAAAAAAATCAGTGTCAGCGCTTCATATTTCCCAATTGGTTTTGTAGAACAGGTTTAAAAAATAGGACTGAGATTTCCCAGGAAACATACAGCAGGTGCTTTGTAAAACAGACTCAATGATCTCACTTGTGATTATTGGACATTTGTAGGACTAGAACAGGGCTTTTCAACCAGTGGTACACTACCACTTGTGGTACTTTGCCACATGGCAGGTGGTACGTGATTGCTAGCCAAGTGTAGCAGGGGAGGGGAATGAGCCTAAGCCAGTCAAACCTGAGGGAGAGGCAGCTGCAGCTACAGGATTGTCTGGGCTCAGCAGAAGCCCCAGGAGCCGGGAGGACTCCAGTTGATTGGCACTTCCGAAGCAGCTAGGAGCTGGAGGTGAACTGAAGAAAAAGGGGGGGGGAGAGGAGAGGCTATAAAAGAATGTGGTTTGGGTGGGGGAAGGGGAAAAAAGACAACAGGAAAGTTTTAATCCCTTTTAAACAAACGTAATTAATTTTACCCCCTTTAACTGAGTCTGTCTGTGGCTTTTAGAAAGTTTTCTTTGAAGGTAAACTGGCTTAATTTAAAGCTAAAGCTTTTTGCAATTGCCGGAGCCATTCAGTCTAGGATTGCAACATCAGGACACATGACATGCCTAAGGCAGCTTAAAGAGGGAAAAAACGGAGTTTGTGTTTATTTTCTTGCTTTGCACTTGATTCGTGTCTTTAAGGGTACAGGGAAGGGATTGGGGGGGTGCATTCTTACTACACTGTGGAAGAGCTCAGAAGGGCCAAACAGCTAGCCCAGGAGTCCACAAACTTAGCAACTTTAAGACCTGTGGACTTCAACTCCCAGAATTCCTCAACCAGCCATGAGGGCTGAGGAATTCTGGGAGCTGAAGTCCACAAGTCTTAAAAGTGCCAGGTTTGAAGACCCTGAATTAGCTGGTAATGGTGCATATTAATAAACATGGATAAATTCATCACACATTTGTCAGTGCAAAAGGAAAGTGATTCAGCAAAGGAATAGCCACCGAAGAAATTAAAACTGGTACTTTTTTTTTCTTTTTTTCTACAGTTTGTAATATTTTATTAGATTATAGAATAAAATACAAAAATACAAAAGCAAATAGTAGGACACAGTGGGGAGGAAAAAGGGGGAAAAGGTGAGGGGGAGAAGGGAAAAAGAACAAACTTCCTCAGTTGCAGTAGAAGGAAGCATTAACATTGAATCTCAACTTTTTACTTTTCCATAATATTATAAATAAGCCATTTCTATAACAACAAATGAATCTAATCAATAAAACCCAACCCCCCCTTTTTTTAGTCATCAAGTTTTTGACACCTTGCTAAGCACTGGTGGTACTCAAATATTGTCATGTCTTAAAAGTGGTAAGGGTTGAAAAATCCTGGACTAGAACACAGGTGATTCAAGATAAAGTCTCATTTATGTTTTCAATAATGCAAAAGACACATGACAGATCTGTAATTCGTACAGCATAAAGTCACCTTTATTCCTAGGCCACAGAAATTGCCATCATACAATTGTGCTAAATGCCGTTGTTATTGACTATTTGTGCTATAAGCACTGATGTGAGTTGTGATGAGATCACAACTTAAGTCTCACTGATTTTAACATTTAAAAAAAACTGAAACAAGAGGACTTTTAATACATCATAGCTTTAAACGGGACTTTGAAGGTGGTTCTGCCCCTACGTTACAGGCAGCCTCATTCCTAAACAACAGCGGTTTCACTATTCAATTACTCTTGGCATAATTGGAATCTGAGCCAGCTACATCTTCAAGAATCTCCTATAAAATCTGCTTCATCTAGCTCAAAATAGACAGTTTTTGTTCCTTTGGGAATATAGGTCACTCGATCCACTTCACCACCTCCATTGCTAGGTTTCTGGAAATGAATTTCAATCATGTCTCCCACATTCTCCTCATCTTTCTGTTCTGCGTCGATTCCTGTTAACAGTACAGTTTTCCTGGAAGTTCCTGAAAACATCTGGCACACACACACAAAAAAAAGCATACCATATGTTACTTCCATAGTCCTCCTTAGAGAAAGCTAATATTGAAACCACCACCAGTAAGAGATAACTACACCCCTTCGTTATTTTTTTTTTACCGATTACAACATAAATACACTGTTCATGAACCAACAAAATGTGAGGCTGGGCATGGCAGCTGCACCCCACATGCCCTTTCTAAAATACCCATGTATTACAGGAGCACAGCAGGGAAAAGCTGAGAAATGAAACATTTGCTCCTCTGCTGTGACCCTAATGAAAACAAGATTGGCAAGGAATCTCCATCCAGGTCACAGCACATTTCCCCTTTTGAGTCTAATGTGATCATCAGCATGTTTCTTCTTGTTACAACTTTATTCTGACCCAAATAAAGCTGCTGCAAACACTCAAGCTATGTTTGCAAATAAACAAAGCTTTTGTTGTTCATTCGCTAAGTCATGTCCAACTGTTTGCAAACCCATGGACCGTGGCACACCAGTCCCTCCCCGCATCCTCTACTGTCTCCCAGAGACTGCCCAAATTCATGTTCTTTGCATCAATGATTCCATCTAACCATCTCATCCTCTGCCGTCCCCTTCTCCTTTTGCCTTCAATTTCTCCCAATATCATGGTCTTGGGGAGTCTGCTCTTCTCATTTGAGTTTCGGTATCTGTCCTTCCAAAGAACAGTCAGGGTTGATTTCCTTTAGGAATTTGATCTCCTTGCAGTCCAAGGGACTCTCAAGATTCTTTTCCCAACATCACATTTTGAAAGCAATACACAAAGCCAAAAAGTCACATTGTTATTTCCCATTGGGTGGATACCCACTGACCATGTTACAGTTTACCATACTGTCTGAACTTCACACTATTACGTTGCTCACGTATGAAAACCTGATCTTGTAATCTACAGCAAACCCTGGGTACAACTTCCATTTCTAGAATCCCAAAATGATGGCCTTTTTTGGTTTAGGAAGTAGTAACCTACAAAGCCTGGTTAAAGAACAGCATATGGCAGAAAGTACAATAGTATAGTCAGATATTAATATTTAACTTAATTCAATATGCAACACAGACCAACCTTCACTAAATGGAAGAAAACAAAGACCTAACCATTATCAAACCACCATAAGTGCTTGACAGTATTGGCCCAGCCATATCTATAGTGTAAAACTTGAGATGATCAGTAGATGGCAGCAAAGAGGTTTTACGTTACTTAAAACCCATCTAGCAATTTACCAGATTTTTGCTGCCCATATACAGTATATGGTTGATATTATTGATGTAAGCAGATTTAACTTCATTCTACATACATAATATGAAGAACTCAGTTCTATTGTTTACCCGTAGAACACATTTTCCAGCTGCTGGAAATACAATGTATACATTATCTGGAAAGTAGGGGAATAATTTATTAGCTATTAAAAAGACTGTAAACCATATTCCAAAGGAAGTCCCTTTGAACTCAATGACTCATATCAACTGTAGTTTTAATTTTAATGTATCATGCTATATCAAACCCAGCCACTAGTTTGGAAAGTCTGGATTAGATTTCTCCATCACTGCCCATCAGAGCATGTACCTCTCTATCGTATGGGGATCGTTGCATATATGTTGCATTTATATTTCTGCGAATATTAACGTTCTGGCTAGGGAGCTCTCAAACAGCAAAGCACAGAACAGGAAGTTGAATCACACAATCAGCACACAGGATGTGCACCTCTACAGTGCACAACTGGGATTTGGGAGGTATGCTCATCAGCCTGTCTGCAATCATTTGCAACCTACACCTACCCATCAATACCTTCACAGTGTAATTATGCCGCAACACCTACGTGGCTGTGGGCCACTCTAAATCAAGTTTAAAATCAATGATGATGATGATGATGATAATAATAATGTTGGAAGGGACCTTGGAGAGCATCAAGTCCAACCCCCTGCTCAGGCAGGAAAACCTACACCATTTCAGACAAATGGCTGTCCAGTCTCTTCTTAAAAACTTCCAGTGTTGGAGCATTCACTGCTTCTGGAGGCAGATTGTCCCATTGTTCTAACTGTCAGGAAGTTTCTCCTTAGTTCTAGGTTACTTCTCTCGATTAATTTCCATCCGTTGCTTCTAGTCTTGCCTTCAGGCACTTTGGAGAATAGCTTGACTCCCTCTTCTTTGTGGCAGCCCCTGAGATATTGGAACACTGCTATCATGTCCCCCCTCGTCCTTCTCTTCATTAAACTAGACATACCCAATTCCAGCAACCGTTCCTTATATGTTTTAGCTTCCAGTCCTCTAATCATCTTTGTTGCTCTTCTCTGTACTCTTTCTAGAGTCTCAGCATGTTTTTTACATCGTGGTGACCAGAACTGGATGCAATATTCCAAGTGTGGCCTTACCAAGGCATTGTAAAGTGGTATTAATACTTCACGTGATCTTGATTCTATCCCTCTGTTAATGCAGCCTAGCACTGTGTTGGCTTTTTTGGCAGCTGCAGCACACTGCTGGCTCATATACAATGTGATATATAACTCTGCTTTACTGTGGTTTATTCAATAATCCACAGCTCAGCACAACAGGTTCATTCAGCTGCTGAATTATTTGCCATAATTGATTATTTCCCCATTATTTACCTGTACTTTTTCCACAACGCTTTTTATGACAGGTGAAACAGTGAGAAGATGGATCTTTCCAAACACACTGATACAGGATTGTTCATACCTTATTATTTTATTAAGAGCTAGAATAAAAATAAAAATAAAAAATGAGTTATATGAAGAGGTCCACATCTGAAAAGGGCAGGTTAAAATTTAAATAAATTAAACCCTAAATATTAAGAGTTCCATATATACTTTAAATAGTGTAGATATTTATTTAGGAAGAACTAATTTTCCATTAACTGTGGGACATAAAGTTGTTTATTTCAAAGTAAGCCACCGGTGGATGAGACTATAAGGCAACTATAGGAATAAAATATTCATCACAAGCCTTTGTTTCCAGCATAATAATACTGTAGTGCAATTCTAGATAGGTCTACCTGTAAGTAAGTCCAGTGGAATTTAATCCAAAGTAAACAAATTGAAATGTAACATTAACAGAAAAAATTTGTGTAGCACTTGCTTTCAAGAGTTAAAACACTTTCTCCCTAAATTGGCATTCTCCAACCTGGTACCTACCTTCAGATAAAACAGATTATAATTTTCTACGTTCATTAGCCAGACGGCAACAGTTGGTGGTGGCGTGCTTTCTAAAACATCTGGAAAGAATCAAGTTATGGAAGGCTACTTGGCATTCTAAGTGAAGAAAATGGCATGGTGCAGCTACTGAAAAGTACCAAGGGAAGAGAATGCCTATAGCTGAGGGATGAACATTCAAATGTAGAGAGTAAAATCTTTTTGCATACAAAGACCTGCTTACAGAATGAGCAATACTTGCTGATAAGACTGGAACTTCCATAACAATGGCCTGGCTGGGTGCAAGTGAAATATTTGAGACAGAATGATGGAGAATACTGTGTAGAATTTAAAAATAGGGTGATCTTCAGGGAATGCATTCTTCCCAGTCAGCCTTAAAAGTCATCTTAGGTAGCAGTGGTGGCGAACCTATGGCACGTGGGCCAGAGGCGGCACTCAGAGCCCTCTCTGTGGACACGCGCACCACCACTAGCAGCTCGTGCTGGTCCATTAGGCTGCCACCCGAAGCAGCAGCCCTGCCCAGCACAAAGCAGACAAAATGGCCGGCTTGCAAGCTCGATAGAGGTGTTAGAGCAAGGGTGTCAAACTGCCAGCCCGTGGGCCAGTTTCATCATACCGGAACTGCACCCACCCCATTGCCGGCAATGGCAAAAAAGCTCTGATACGCTGTGCGACGTCACGTGACGTCGCGAGTTTGACATGCCTGTGTTAGAACATTGAGGTGGCCATGCCTACCTGGCCACACCCAGTCTGCTGTGACCACCCTGGCCACATCCACCCAGTGGGCCATACACCCCGCCCTCCCTGAGGAAACCACAATGCTGATGCAGCCTGGCACTTTGCAATAAATAAGTGGGTTTTGGGTTGCGGTTCGGGCACTCGGTCTCTAAAAGGTTCGCCATCACTGTTATATAGTGATCCATGTGCTTTTTAGCCCCAAACTATCTTGGACTTGGGACAAGGTTTAAGTAGCTAGTTTCTGCTAAGAAAGGGCTGGGCAATTAATTTTCCCAAAGGGCCACACGAGAAACTGGGACTGTGAAGGTGTGTAGGCATGCATGCATGCACATACAAAAATTGGAAAAAAAAATAGCAGTCATCTTCAAAATAAAAACAATGCAGTTGAATTGCATGCATGGCATACTTATTTATATCTAACTTCTAATTTCCAATTGACCTCACGTGGTCCAGTCAAAGGGAATCGTGGCCTCCGTTCTAAAACTATGTGCTTAAAGTCAAGAGAGGAATGTTGATCTATAAACAAGGTGGACTACAGACCACATCCTAAAAATAAACAGGCAGAGTAATTCAGAAATTACCTAAAGGCTGAGAAAAGGTAACGATGGCCTTTTGTGAGAGTGGATCATAAAATATATTTTGAATTTCACCCAGTTTCGCTTTGCAGAAAAGGAGCTCCAATTTGTCTTTCATCCACTCCTCAGCAATTTTTACATTTGGGATGTTAGAAACACAAATCTCCCTTTGAAGGATCTTAACATGAATCTGGAAAAACAATGCAAGCCAGTGTCAAAAGTATGCACATAAAAATACATAGGTGCAACTATTCAAAACATGTTATGATCAGAGCACAATTTCTGGTGGGGAAGAACATTTTCTCATTATCTATGCTAATGTTCCTTCCAAAGTGCTCTCCCAGAGTTCTTTGCTCACAATGGCTGGAAATTTGGGACTTACGCACAAGAGAATACCAAGCTGGGAAAGGCTGAACTATACAAAGCATACACGTTTACTACAATAGTCAAGAGTTAAATTATTCCTCAAGATTTTAAGAAAGAAATGTAACAGTTCGATTGAGATAGTGTGAAGATTTGTACAACATACTAAGCTAAAATTGAAGTTATTCAGCAAAGCATAATGCAACTATAGCTCAATGTGATATGCATGCCCAGTGAACAGTTAGCGAAATTAGCACAATTTTCCCCCTCCAGGGGGAAATATACAGTGATTTATTCAACAAACCATCATTAAACCATGGAATTTCCATCTACAATATGTGTTAAAATCAAACTTTGCCACGCTGACTTTGAAAATACTAGCAGAAGCAGACATGGTTAATGCCATCAAAACTGTAGGTTAGAGTGGGAAGTCAAAAAATATGCTGAAATAAGGCAGTGGGAATCCATTTCTATATTGTTGCGAAGAAGATAAATCCTTGATAGCCCAATGAAATTTAGTCAATAAACCTGTATACTCCTTCTTTATAATAAAGACCAGAGAATGTTTATAAAATGGTCTTTAAATTAGGCCTATAGACTATCTTTGCCAATAAGCTTTCAATCCAACAGAACATAGTATCAGGAGGCAGTTATGTCTGTATGTATTTTTGGTTGAATTAGATATGAACATCTGAAAAGGTACATATCTATGAAAAAAAATGAAAATTCTAAAAAAAAGCTTGCCTTCTTTCTATGTGATTAGGAAAAAGAAGGGAGAACTCCTTCAGCCTACATGTACTATATCCCAACCATGAGAGTCTTTGTATCTATGTAGAGCTAAGCAAAGCCAATTGAACTTAGGCTGCCTGAATGGAGGTCCAGTTACCAGTATAGAATAGTTCACATTATTTGGATATATTTTTCTTTCATGATGATGCCATTACCTTAAATGTTGTTCCTGTCTCCAAAGGAACAGGGTAGGCTTTCAAAGCAATCTCCTTATTTTCCAGGTTGATGATATGGTTATGTTTTCTAATCAGCTGCTGAGCAACTGAAGAACAACACATTAACAGGTTTCCATACTGAACATTGACTAAATAGTTCCACTTCACATTAGACATATAGTCATATTAATCAACAACTGTGAGCAAAGCCATGGTTTCAACAATGATTTTTTTTTTTTAACATGGGATTTTGTTGACAAGTTTTGCTGCTAGTTTTGCACTGTTTCCCAACTCAAACATAATATCACCCCTACAATTATGACACTCTAATGGTCGAAGTTTCTTGCCAAGGAAAACAGGATAACAGATCCCTGAAGGAAGTATTCTCAAAAAGGTTGTTTTTTTCCATTCTTGCATTGAGTACTGATAGATCCAGTAACTCAGAATATTCATGATTCAGCATTTGGCGCAAGGTTATTTTTATTGGCACTGACATCTGTCACCACAGCACTGGCTAGTTCACATATTGTGCTATGCAATAATGGGATCTAATTTGGTTTAGTGTTCTGAAGTGTTGTAAGTTATGGTAAACTGGCCAATAGCCAGCTTTAAGTTCCCTTTTCATTGACTCTCTATTTGGGTTATCATCTGACTTGGGCCAAAATGGTAAGTGTTAACTAGACTTAACATAATCTAAAAAACAAAGATTTTAATTTTATTTTTTTTTTAAAAAAGGATCTTGCCGTATGAGTATAGATTTTGCCATTTTCCCCCAAACAGTAAATATATTTATTGCTTGTTTTCCACTTTTAAATTTATATACGATAGCCATATCCGATTGTAAGGTACCTAGTCGTGTGACAGTAAGATTGGCAACAAATTAATTAATTTAAAAAATGGAAGAGCAGTTTCTTGACAGAAAAAAAAGTGTCTTCCTCTTGTTCAAAGCTTGGCATGACGTGTGAACCCAATCATTCATACATAATTCACTTTTAGGCAAGCCCTAGCTCATCAGATATGTGAACTCAATCACAGCTGGTTCGTCTACAAGAAGGCTGGTAAGAGATCAGGACCTTAAAGAACATCAAATTAAAAATTACCTTCTGTATTGTTTTTACAGTGGGGATGATAAGGTTAGAATTTCAAACATCAAAACGTATTAAGATAAATTCATAAGTGGCAGATATTTGAACTGATCCTAAAATTTTCTTGTCTGAAAATGAAGAGTTTACTTAACATGACCTCCCTTATTTAAAAAACGAGGAACTATATCATTTAAGTATTATCTGAAGAGCTGTGGTGGCACGGTCTTTAGAACAGAGTATTGCAGGCTAACACTGCATTCCCACTGCCAGGAGTTTGCCAGGTTAACTCAGCCTTCCATCCTTCTGAGGTCGGTAAAACAAGGACCCAGATTGTTGGAGGCAATAGGCTGACTCTGTAAACCACTTAGAGAGAGCTGTAAAATCACTATGCAGCTATTTATTTATTTATTTATGAGACTTATATACCGCTTTAAGTGCAAGCACTCTCTAAGCGGTGTACACCAGTAAGCAATGTATATATATATTTACATTGCCCCCAACAATCTGGGTCCTCATTTTACCTACCCCGGAAGGATGGAAGGCTGAGTCAACCTTGAGCCGGTGAGATTTGAACCGCTGACCTTCTGAACACAGTCAGCTAAAATGGCCTGCAGTACTGCACTCTAACTGCTGCGCCACCTCGGCTCTTTTTATGTTATGTTAGTCGGAGTGCTATTGCTATTGCTATTGCTATAATATATACCCCATACCAGATTCTTCTTCAAATTGAATGAGAGCTTCTCCTTGGTTGACTGTGAATGGGATTTTTGTAGCTAAGTGAAAACGGCAGGAGAAGTTAGTGTAGTCATCTTCATCCTTGGCATCCTCCAGGTGCACAAACTTCATTTTTTTTTTAAGTAGGCATTGCTGAAGCTGAAATTTGAGTAACAATACAGGAGAGGGCAACTTTTAAGACAAAAGAATGTTAAGTAAACATATTCTTTATCTACTAGTTTCAGTGACCCATAAGACCATAAGGAAGCTTTTGTCAGATACTTTTCCCACCATCTCCCATTTGTCCGAAAATATAATTGACAAGAATTTTCATTGCATTGTTTACTCTTTGAGGGATTTGGGGAAGATTAACACAACAATTTTCTATCAAAAGTCAGCAGGAAATCAGTTACTTGCCAATTTGCTGAATAATTTCAAAAGAGAAACTAGAAGCTACATGTTGTCTCTTAAGGTATCCAAACATGCTTCAAGGTTTAAAAACTTGAATCCTGGATTCATCTGAGGCTGAATAGTTGCACTAGTATATTAGTAAGAAAGTGAAAGCAATTATTGTAATGAAGCAGCAAATCTCTATCTATTTATTTGGGAAAAAAGAACTCTAGAATTCAGTGAGATTTCTATAGAGTTTATTAGATCGTGGATTTATGGAACAAGAATTGTGTAATGGGATAAAATTGCTAAAGATTCTAATTCAGTGGTTCTCAACCTGTGGGTCGGGATCCCATTTGGGGTTGAACAACCACTTCACGAGGGTTGCCAAACAATGCAGTCTGCCATTTTTTCCCCCTTTTCCTTAGCTGTGCTACTCCCTTTTATTCTATTGGCTTTTGAAAGCCAATAGAATAGACTCTCTTGAATAGAGTCTAATTCTATTGGCTTTCAAAAGCCAATAGGAATTGTCCAGGCTGTCTCTGCCCTGCTGAGCCCGCCAAAAGTCCCATTCTGCAAACGGTGCTGCACCAGTTGAGTAGTCCCCGACTTACGACCGGTTGAGTAGTCCTCGACTTACGAACGGTTGGGGGTCACGGCATTAAAAAGGTTGAGAACCACTGTTCTAATTGTTTGTAAACCACAAATTTCCTGGGAGAGCAAGGGTATTGTTTCTTAAATAAAGGATAAAGAATCATATCCTGCCATTTATGAAGTAAGTATTTTGGAACACCAAATCAACCCTGCTGAATCTCCCACATGCACACCAATGCATTACTGCAAGAGTTTACCGAATAACTCCGGATAAGTTCTCCACATTTCATTTTCTTTGCTGCCAGATTCACCTTAAGGACCTCAATTTCCTTTCTCAGCTTACTATTTTGCTCACATATTAAGGAAAGTTGCTCCTGTGAAATATGACAAAAAAGACATAAACACCTAAGAATTGGTTTATGGATATTTTGAAAAAATATTTTGCATTTTTTTTATTTTTCTAGAGAAGGCAAAAACACTAGAGAGAATTTCTCCGAAGATGGGCTCCAGGCCTGGTGTCCGATCCAGATTGGATCCTGCAACATTATCCTGGGACATATATATTCCCCTTCATTCATGACAAAATAACCTTGCTGGAAGTTTTTAATAGGTAAACTTGTAACCACCTCCAGTATTTTAATGAATCTGAATGATCAATAAAATGCTATGTAATTAAGCCATTGCACTACTCCAATTGAAAGGAAATGATTTAAGCAGTCCTGTAACCTTGCTATTTTTATACAATGAAGAGTACCACCCAATGAATACTCATGTGGATGTGCCCATCAGCTGAACCTACACCCATAGGAACATGCATATGTCGATCTGTTTTTTGACCATGGAACACATTGTCAGTTAATCAAGATTGTATATTGCATTCTTAACATATTTCTTAATAGACATATATTAGACTGACAAACTGAAGGTCTGAACAAAAGCATTTGTATTTTGTTTATAAAACTCAAGCTCAAAGAACACCAAAGTCCCCTCATTTTAACCCTGAGATACAAATATTCATTGGTAACTCGAGTTTCTCATTTAAATTGAAAGTTTTGGATACTGTCTCTTTCCGAGTTTGAAGATTCCAAACTGTGGTATCAGTTAATATTCAGAGCTGTTGTTTCAGTCTCAACTTTTAAGAAATATAAACCTGCAAAATATGAGCATGGTTTTAAAACCTGAACTGATGGCTTCTACTTTGTCATGAACTGCAAGACACAAATTTTCTACAAGGATTAAAAATATTTCCTCAGTGAGACAGTGACCAGGTATAAGAAACCAAGTTTGCAGGGTGTTTGTCAAATTTATACACCACACAACTTCCAGAGATTCTAAGCACTTCATAAAGTAAAAAAAACATATACAAAAAAACAATAATATAACAAGATAGAGGAGCAAAAAGATGGCAACAACGAAAACATGTACAGGTAGTCCTGGTTTGAAGTTACAATGGCACTGAAAAAAGGGATTTATGATCATTTTTCACACATACGATCATTGCAGCATCCCCATGGTCACATGATCAAAATTCAGGCATTTGGCAACTGACTCATATTTACAACGGTTACAATGTCCCGGAGAATATGTGATCACCTTTTGCAGCCTTTTGACAAGTAAAGTCAATGGGGAAACCAGATTCACTTAAAAACTGTATTACTAACTTAACTGCAGTGATTCATTTAACTGTGACAAGAAATGTCATAAAATGGAGGAAAACTCACTTAACTGCCTTCCTTAGCAACATAAATTTGGGGTTCTGTTGTGGCTGTAAGTCAAGGACTACCTGTACATGCTATCACACATTCCAGTCAAAAGCTTGGCAAGTTGGACTCAATATCGCTTTTTAAACATTCACACTTCCCAGCATCAACTTTGAGTTCTATTCTCAAAATGATGGAACATGGATACATCTATTATTTACCTGCTGTTTCTTCTCTATCCTCATTCTTTCAGTTACTTGCTTATTACTCTGATCTTTTAGATCTGCCAGAGCCTTTTGCTTCATTTTTCTTTTCTCATCAAGGGCAAGTTTTGAAAGAAGGATTTCAGTCTTTCGCTTTTCAATTTTTTCAAGCTTTTCCTGGGCAAATAAGAATCTATTATTGCAATTTCAGGATTTCCAATTGAATAGGACTAGCAGGGCTTGGAACAACAACAAAAAAAAGCACTGCCTCTTCTAGTCAACATAGTATGCATAGATGGCTCAATTATCATTGCTAAACATCAAAAGAGTTTATAAAAATTACCTTCCATTTTTCTAGTTCTTCCAGTAGTTCAGTCTCACTTGTAGATGTTTTTGAAATTTCGCCTTCTGACATAGTCTACAAAACCAAAATGAAAGGAAGTTTCTTTCCATTTTGCACCTAAAGCTGTTTTTTTTTACATTTCCAAGACTTTCATTTTTTTTCTCAGATATGAAATTGAAATAAATTATGAATTGTTGGAATAATTTTCAAATTTTAGCCAACCACTTTCAAAGTTTCATTAATCAATATTTTATTAGAATATTTCACCTAAGCAAATGAGTATTTTAAAATAAATATGAGAGAACAAGACTAGAAGTAACCAGGATTATTTCAGTAACAGGATGATAGTGAACTGTTAAACAAAAGCAGTTAGCAGCACTTAGGCTCCATAGTGCTTTACAGCCGCACTCTGAGCAATTTACAATGTAAACATATTGCCCCCCAACAATGTGGGTCCTCATTTTACCAATCGGTTAAACACCTGTTTTAATGTTTTGTTCTCTTCCTCTGTATTGTACTATGTATCGTATTAGTAAGCAAATTTATATAGCTGCCCATCTCATAAATGTGACTCTGGGTGGCATACAACAAAACAGTTAAAATAAATACCAACAGCTATTAAAAATAATTAAACTTAAATAGAAACTAAGACTGCAGAATGGGCCAACATTCTAAACACAATATAGGTAGCCCTTTACTTACAACCATTCATTTAGTGACTATTTGAAATTACAACAGCACTAAAAAAATATACATTTTTTTCAAACTTGAGACTGTTGCAGCACCACATGATCAAAATTCAGATACTTGACAATTGGTTCATATTTATAACAGTTGCCGTTGTCTCGGGGTCACATGATCACCTTTTGCAATCTTCTGACCAGCAAAGTCAACGGGGAAGCAAATGTCACTTAACAACTGCACTGATTCACTTAACAACTGTGGCAAGAAAGGTCATAAACCGTATGAAAACTTACTTAACTATCTTGTTTAGCAATAGAAAATTTGGGCTCAACTGTAGTTATAAGTGGAGGACTATCTCTATAACATCTTGCAGGCTCCCAGTTCCCATGGGATCCCTATGGTTGCTGGAAAAAAAACATGTTTAGTTTTCCAGAAGGCTGGTGGATGGATACACCTGGGGGGGAGGCAGAATGATTTTCCAGAGGGTGAATACCACGGCAAAATCCCGTCATCTCCTGGGAGTCCAGTCAGATATAACTCTTGAGCAATACACACACATTTTCATTCTTCCTCATATCAATTACTTTAAGAACAAAGAAAAGGCAAAGATTGCCATTACACAAAGCTTGTTTTATTTCATTTGTTGAATGGCTGGCTAAGTTCACACAGCATACAAAGCTTGTAAACAAGCTCTCTCTAATTGATGGACAACCTACCCTACTGCTATTTCTAGCCAACATAACAACAGGAAGTTGTCATCCCATCACATCTAAAAATCACTGGAAAATACTGACTATTAAGCAGCACCATTGATCCAATTGTTCTGGCTGAGTATTTATTATTATTATTATTATTATTGTTGTTGTTGTTGTTGTTGTTGTTGTATGTGTTGCCCCAAAAATCCAGTCAGGTGATGTGGATTTTCCTCACTTGTGCCCAGCCATGGCACAAACACTTTTACTACTGTGTTTGCCTGCTATTCCCTTCACCTCATTCCCAGTCTGTGAACAAAGCAGGCTTAAGTCTCCCTAGTTTTACCTGTAATCTTTTCCCCGATGCCAACTCTGGTAGAATTTGGTAGGCTACTCTGATAGGTAATATTTGGTAGGCTCTGTGACTGATTACTTGGGAAGGAAGGCAGAGGATTGGAATAACTGACCAAATAAGGATTGGCAATGAGGGAGACAGCAACATTTGTGCTGGGTAGTTTAAATAGTTAAATGGGCAGAGAAAAGAAGTCCCCAGAGTTTAAATCAACGGATATCTCTCTACTTGCAAACTCCACATCATATAAGTTTCCAGGGGTAAAACTCGACTCCAACTTTTTATCCAGTACGGAAATCTCTGCTAAATTTTTCTTTCAGGGCTGTTTTCTGATTTCCAAGCTCCGGTTAAAAAATAAAAATAAAAAATCAGAAATGTCAGATGAATCCCTAATACAGAGGTCTTTTCAAACTTGCCCCTTTTCTGACTTGTGGACTTCAACTCCCAGAATTCCTCAGCCAGGCACGCTGAGGCGGCACGCTGGCTGAGGAATTCTGGGAGTTGAAGTCCACAAGTCATAAAAGGGTCAAGCTTGAAGACCCCTGCCCTAATACTATTAACCGGGCCGAGGTTGCTTCGTTTTCGAAATCAGCGAAGTTGTACTGAGTGCTGGAACAAAATTTAAACACCGGAGGCATTTAATAACAGTTACACCAACACGAAGCGTGGATTTACTCTTGCGCCCCTGTTAAGTTGCGTTATTTAAATAATTTAGACTAGTTAAGTTACGTGCGTGCCAACCAGATCGAATAAAAGTCCATAGGACGATCTCAAATGAAGGCTTTTGACCGCATCGTTTGCTTCTGTAGTAAAAAAAAAAAAAAATGGCTCACCGCCGTCCTCCACGGAGAAGCTTTACTTTCGCTTTCAAACTCTGCCAGCAGACTCTACTTGCAGGAGGGAATTGCACACCGTCGCTAGCCAGGCGCTTCCCCCACTCCACTCTGCCCGCTTTCCAGCGGGACTGACTTACGAGGGTCTTTCCGACGACAGGCCAAGCCAAAGGGACTGCAAGATACCGGGAGAAACTCTCCCTAAAAAAAAAAAAAGCCCCACTTTCCAAGAGCAAGAAACGAAAGTCGGATCCTTGTTTGATAGCAGATCACGTGGAAGGAAGGAAGGAAGGCAGGCGGGAACGAGCGGCTATTGCCGGCAGCTGGAAAGTACGGCCTCTCCCCTTGAGGCCAAAGAGGGAAAGCCATCTGCCCTCTGCCCATGACAAAAGAGCGTCTTGAGAGGCGCGATGCTTCTCACGTTGGAAGTGTTTACACGCGGCGGCGCCGCCCAGCCTCGTTCTCAAGACTGCGATCGCCTTTCGAACCACCCGAAGCTGAAATAGGATTAGTTAGCTCTACGTATAGTCTGTGTAACTGATGAAGCTTCTTGAATGAGAAGCGAAACGTTTCCTTCTTCTTCCTCAGGGAAACAAGTAACCCCGTTGCCTTTTGAAGGGTGGGGGGAAGCACCTTTGAGACAGCTATGATTTGGATGACTGAGAATCTCCACAATCAGTCTGTGGCTTAGAGTGCTGTATGAATCTGACCCAGATTGTTGGGGGGCAATAGGCTGACACTGTAAACCGCTTAGAGAGGGGCTGTAAAGCACTGTGAAGAGGTATATAAGTCTGTGTGCTATTGATATTGTTATGAATCCAATTCAGGTTTAGTCAAACCTTACTGATTAAGGAAAACGATGGCTAGTGAGAGAAAGGAATCAGGTCAGCATTTTTAATAACACGCTGCCATTAGTCAGCAGGCAAGCAGAGAAAAGCCAGAGAGTTTTCTAATTCTAACCTTTTTCCTAGTGGACAGTACTGAATAAGCTTCCCAATTTGATGGCAGCTGAGTGGGATGGAGGTCGGCTTCCAAAACTGCCAGCAAGATGAAGCCAAGCAGAGTCAGGAAAGCTGCCTCAAAAATAGATTTGATTCCCAGGGCATGTCAGAACTGGTTTCCCCAAGTCTTCTCTTAAAAAGTGTAAGGTAGTATAGTACAGGTATATGGAGCCCTGATTCGCAAATCACATCTTTTTTGTGATATCTCCCCCCCCACTCCATAAGTAGTTATTGGTGTTAGAGTTTGGCAAGAAATAAAACACTTGTAATAATTAGATTTTAATCTGTATGTCAAACTTTGCTTATCCTGCAGAAAAATACCTAGGAAGTTGCTAAAAGTCATCTAGATGGTACATCAAATCAAACTGCAAGACAGCAGCTTTTGAGATTAAGGAGAAAAAGAGCAAAAAAGTTTTGATTGCTTCTACTTTGGGCTGCATAAGCTTAACCAGGTTAAAAATTGTTGATCCACCCCTAACCACGGTTTGAAAATCAGGGATGCAGTAATAGGGCCTAAGAGAGTAATAATGAGTAGACAATACAGAACAACTGCCTTGCTTATACACTGTACTAAGTTGTACAGTGACTTCTTTAACAGTGATTTATTAAAAATTGCTGTTGGAGTCTCAGAATATGCAAAGATACAAACTGCTATTTACAAACCACACAGTGATTCAGTTCGTATGATGTGCTAAGCCTGCCAGAATACCATAATTTTAAGTTTAGTATGGATGAACCTAGCCACAGTACCATATAAACTGTTGTACTAAATGCTATGGGCTCACATATTTGAGGGATTCACAGCTGCCTCCTTTGTGTATCTTGGGTGTATCTTAGTGCTCTATGTGACTATCCATGAATGCATTTCTTTTCCCCTAAAAAAAGAAGAGGCAAGAGATCATGTCAAATGATTCAGGCATTCTTCAGCATGACATAGCTGCACTGAAGGTGATTTTATCTATGAATTTGGAAAGTGGCACATGTTTGTTTCTCTATCCAGATTGTCAACAGCCAATAGTGACAATGTGCTTGTGCCTTTTTTATTCATCTTGTTTCTCAGCATTTATTTTCCAGCAGGAATGTCATTGTCATTACACCCTAACCGTTCTTTAACTTCTAACATTTTATTAGTTTATAATATACAAACCAATGAAAATACAAAAGCAAATAGTGGAAAAAATGGAGAAGGGAAAGAGGAGTAGAGAAGTGAAGTAAGGGAGAGAAAAAAGAAAAAAAAAAGGCATTGACTTCTGACTTCCTTTGGTGGAATAGAGTATCAACTTCAAACCTCAACTTTTTACTTTTACAAAATATTATAAACTAGCCATTTCAGTAACATCAAATCTATCTAATTGATAAAGCCCAAAATCAAATTTTCATTTTTTCCACCTCAATTTTTCCCCTAACAGTTCTTTATATATTCAATTGTTGTTGTTGTTAATTGCGAAGTCATGTCCAACCCATCGCGACCCCATGGACAACGTTCCTCCAGGCCTTTCTGTCCTCTACCATTTTCTGGAGTCCATTTAAGCTCACACCTACTGCTTCAGTGACTCCATCCAGCCACCTCATTCTCTGTCGTCCCATTCTTCTATCGCCCTCAATCTTTCCCAGCATTAGGCCCTTCTCCAGTGAGTCCTTCCTTCTCATTAGGTGGCCAAAGTATTTGAGTTTCAACTTCAGGATCTGGCCTTCTAAAGAGCAGTCAGAGTTGATCTCTTCTAGGACTGACCGGTTTGAACGCCTTGCAGTCTAAGGGTCTATGGTACAGGAGTCTTCTCCAGCACCATAATTCAAAGGCCTATACTTATTCAATACAGAAGATAAGTGGCTCATCTGTAGTAATAGAAGATCACTATGTTTGTTTGTTCATTCATTATGTATTTATTAGAGGTGTTTACAGGCAAGACATAGCAGTCATGTGGCCTTCTAAATTAGTGCTCAGTGTGAACCATATCATACCCCCGAGGGAACTATACCATATTTCTAGAGGGTCAGGCAACCTTAACTGCTAGCCATTATGAAGTTTGTTATAACCACACATCTTATTCTCTATGCTAATTTCTTGTCTGCAAAAACAATCCTTTTTGTTAGCTACTACAAATAGTTTGATATAGTTCACATTAATAAGCAGTGCATATGGTAAGGTACCTTTTTCCAGCTAATGGCAACTATGGGGGGGGGGGCAAAGAGGCAATTGAAGTTCAGAAGGGAACCCTAGGGCTCCCTTTCAAGACCACTTTCCTATAGTATCTGCCTATCCAGTTCAAGCTGGCAGAGTTGGTGAACTCTGGGTTACTTTGATTAAATGATGTCTTCTGACAGGATTCCAGAATTGTGCACTCCTGCCCTCTGGAATTAGGCTCCCCCCCCCCAGATTCATATAGTCCTCTACTGTTGTTTTAAAGGGCCCGGAAGATTAGGTTCTTCGCTTAGTCCTTTGGGTAGGGTAATTGAAACCCTCTTTCAGTTATAAGAGTTGTTTTTTCTTCCTACTGGTTTTGTCACTTTTGCTGTCTTTTACTATCTATTTTTTTGTTTTATTATTTCATTTGTAATGTTTTAAACAATCTAGACAGCAAGTACATATTAAATGTGGGGTCCTTGGTGCTCTCTGAGCTTGCTTGTTTTCTTGCCGACGTTTCATGATCCAAACTAGGTAACATCACCAGTGCTAGTAAGGAATGCAGTTTGCTGTCAATTTATATTCTAGTGCAGGGGTTCTCAACCTTGGCAACTTTAAGACTTGTGGACTTCAACTCCCAGAATTCCTCAGCCACCAAAGCTGGCTGAGGAATTCTAGGAATTGAAGTCTACAAGTCTTAAAGTTGCCAAGGTTCAGAACCCCTGTCTAGTGGCTTGCCCTGTCAGTGTTGGGGGGGGGGGTGTTCTTAGATATTCTTTGGTTAGGCTGTTTGCTTCTTCAGCAGTTTCTTGATTGAGGTATTGTTTACTTGATTGTTGATCTGATATTAATCTTGGGAGTTAATCTATGCTGATATATATTAAATGTAATAAATTATTATAAATATCAGAAAAAGTTGACAACTCCTGTTCTAAATCACAGTAGAACAAGAAAATGTTTTCTATCCTCTAATTCTTTACTTGAAGCCAGTGGTGGGATTCAGCTGGTTCGCACCACTTTGGCAGAATCAGTAGCTAATTTTTTGTTGCCCAGGCCCAGAATGGACCTCCGGAAACAGCATCCACACAGAGCACCAGTTGTTCACATATTTGAATTCCCCCACTGCCTGAAGCACATTTATAAGTCACACTAAGCATAGCACATTTTATTGGGTTTTGTTCTAGCATTTGGCTATTGTGGCTTGTAAATCCTATTTTATGACTTAGCACAGTGTGTGAGTCAAAATTAGCTAGTTGCTAACATTTTATACTGCTGTTTCTTTTGCAGTATATCAAAATTGCAATAAAACTACAGATTAAAAAAGATATAGTCTTTTGCATAATTTGGATTTACTTTTCAATAGGATCAGGCAATGATCCATGTTCCATAAAACATTTTCCCCAGTGATATTAATAATGCTGGTATATATTGTCCCTTAACTATACCAGTGTGTACAGTTTAAACAAAATATTAAATACATTAGACAGATAGATTGCCATTATTAACATGTGACAGAATTTAGGAACAAAGACATTCTTCTTCTTTCAAGAATTTATGAATGGATAGTTATGGAAAGAACTCCAACTAGAGGACTATGACACAGGATAAAATGTGGATGATACGGTGCTATTTGTTATATTTCTATATACATATGGACTGGAGAAAAAAACTAACTGAAAAATAATTACACACCAGAGACTGAGCTAAGATAACTTATGAAACTTAACAAAAAAAGGTCACCTTTTGATTTTGTTACATTTTTATTTTTACAAAACAAAAATCCCCTAAAAATACAAAATCATAAGAAAAGAAGTTAATAATTATAATGAAACCAGCCAAAAACTAAATTACGCTTAGAGTACGTAAATATGCTTTTGATACAAAACCAAAAAAAAAAACCCTTTATTCATAGGAACATGCTGGAGAAACATGGGGCACCTCCCTACAATTCTTTTAACCAAATAAGCCTTTTTCTAAGGCGGTATTGCATCTGTCAAGGACAGCCATGCAATTCCAGGAAAATATGTTCCTATTTTGCTGAAGACAGATGATCTGTCAAAAACACATTTTTGCCTTCTGTTCCAAAGCATCACACAATTTGTGGGTGTGGGTGTGATCTTAAAGAGAAATAACATATTCATATGCAAATATTTTTTAAATACACATATTCAATATTTCTTTTCCAAATGATGTTTGTATAGATGAAAGTAATCTATTAAGAACACATTTTACAGTAATATCCTTAATTATTGGATTTTTCAAAGCATTGTATTGAACTGTCATGAATTTTAAATACATACCACTGTT